CGCGTGCCTGGCCACTGGGAGTTTTGGGTGGTGCGGGCTGAGCCGGGAGCCAGGACATCGTCTCCCCTTGCTCTCACTGGGCACCGTTAACATTTCATTTCAGATCAGGTAATTCGCTTTCACAAGGGAGATTCCAATTTCTCCTTATCGTAGCCTGGCTGACACCGTGGAACGGGAGGACGCGAGAATTGCACCGCGGGGTCGGGCGAAGGCTCCGTCTGTGCTGGGAGGGCGAGCTGCCCGCGCCTCGGCTCCCGGCTCAGCCAGGCTCCGCCGCCAGCTCTCCCTGCTAAGGTAAGGGATCCTCGGGCAGCCGTCCCGGCCTGCAGACACGCAACTCCTTTTGGATGCGGGTGAGCCACGGGATGCATCCCAGAAACGCATCCGCTCTGCTCTGGACAGCTCACGGACGTGCAGCCCGCTGGTGGGGCCAGGCCAGCGCCAGCCCAAAGTAAAACCTGCAAAATGTCTCTCGCCCTTCAGGTCGGCTTCCGACGCATCGCGCTGCCCGCGCGGGTGGGCACAGCCGGGGATGCTCTCCACGTTTGGCTGGGCGGGGAGTCGTGGAGAGGAGAGCTGGAAACGCCTGGGTAAGCTCCGGCAGCGTAATCCTCGTAAGCATCAGCACGAAGTCAGATTTTTACACAAGAGCTGTGCAAAAAAAAGAAGCATGCAACTTGCAACATTAACCGCTCATTGTTACGAAACTTTCAATTAGGGCTGTCAAAAAAAAAAACCCAACAAAACCAAACCCAAAACCCAAACACCAAACCACCTTAATTATTGTTTTAATATACAGTATGAGCTTTTAATGGCACTTCCCGCGCTACTTTCCCAGGGATGTCTGGCACGGGACCAACACCACTCTCCTCACGGGAGCGCTTGGCCTCCTCCCCCGCTCCCGCGCCAACCGGCCCCGCGCCCGGACCTTTCCCTGAGGTAAAAACCTCTGCGCCTCCTCGTGTTCCGTGGGGGGCTTATGCCTGCGCCAGCCCTTCCCGAGCGCTGGGGGAATTTTCACAGCCTCCTGCGGGAGCTTTCACCTCGGCGCGGGGCGGGCGCTGCCCCTTTGGGTTACCCCGAGGGGTCA